CTGATAGGAAGTTCCACCAACCAAGCCGTATCGATATGCTCATCGGAGCGGAAGTTTTCTATGAACTGCTGCTATCAGGTAAGGTCAAAATGTCTAATGATCTTCCATTGCTCCAAGAAAGTGTTCTGGGTTGGCTAGTGGCCGGTTCAGTCATCGATGCGAGACCAGTGAATACCGTGCGGGTCTGCCAAGTTGCCCCCGTAGCAGAGCCAGAAGAAAACCTACATGAACTGCTGAAACGGTTTTGGGCCGTTGACGAACAAATGGAGGATGAGGAATCCGCTGCTCCAGACGACGGTGGCGAAGTTCATTTCATGGAGACGCATAGTCGTACAGATGACGGAAGGTATGTTGTTATGCTACCTCTTCGAGAGAACGTCGGTGATTTGGGGATGACTCGAAGGCAAGCTGAAAGGCGTTTTGAGCTCCTGGAAAGAAGATTAGACAAGGATCCAGAGATGAAGCGAATGTATAGGGAATTTATTGAGGAATACCTAGCACTCGGGCACTGTGTAGAGGTTGAATGCAGTGACGGAGATGATACGGACTTCGCTTATTTTCTTCCTCACCACTGTGTGATGAAACCGGACAGCTCCTCAACAAAATTGAGAGTTGTTTTTGATGCCTCCGCAAAGAGCGAATCAGGTCTGTCACTCAACGACGTTATGAAAGTTGGACCAACTGTCCAGAGCAGTCTCTTCGGCATCACACTTCGGTTTAGAACATTCAAGTACACCTTTACAGCAGATGTACCTAAAATGTACAGACAAGTTCTGATACATAGATCACATAGGAAGTATCAGAAAATTCTATTTCGAAAGAAAAGTTCCGAACCATTGAAAGAGATAGAGCTGAATACGGTTACCTATGGGACGGCTGCTGCACCGTTTCTGGCAACACGATCGTTGAACCAGCTAGCCGACGACGAAAAGGACGATTTTCCAGAAGCCAGCGCCGAAATAAAGAAGTCGTTCTACATTGATGATGTCTTGACCGGAGCTAACTCCCTGGTTGAAGCTGTTAAGCTGCAGAAGGACTTGATTGCATTGCTACAAAGAGGTGGTTTTGGTCTTCATAAATGGTGCGCCAATCATCCGAAGCTGTTGAAAGAGATTCCTGTGGAAGCTCAGGAAAAGCAGATGAATTTTGAAGATTGCGAAGTTAATGGGGTGATCAAGACGCTTGGATTGTTCTGGGATCCAACCGAAGACCAATTTATGTTCCGAGTATCACCGATAAATGAAGCCCTGAAGAAACCAACGAAGCGCCAGGTGTTATCGGAGACAGCAAAGATTTATAATCCGCTTGGTCTTCTTGCGCCGACCGTGATAATTTCCAAATTGATTATGCAGCAACTGTGGATGAATAAAATAGGATGGGATGAGCACATACCGAATGATTTACTGCAAACTTGGAACCGATTTAGATCCGAACTTTGTGGAATCGCATCGGAAAAGATCGAGCGTAGGGTGACATCAGACGATGCAGTTAAGTTGGAGCTGCATGGATTCGCGGACGCTTCCGGTGTTGCTTACGGCTGCTGTATATACATGCGAAGTGTTAAGGATGATGGAACGGCTGATATGAAGCTTATGTGTGGTAAATCGAGGGTCGCTCCCATGAAAGAACTGCAGAGAAGTGTCAAATCAGATGCAAAGCCTACTGAGATGACTATTCCACGACTTGAGTTATGTGCGGCGTTGCTTTTGGCACGACAAATGAAGGCAGTTTGTGAAGCTTTGGACTTTACACCAGATCAAGTGGTGTTGTGGTCCGACTCCAGCATTGTACTTTGTTGGTTACAAAGACTGAAGCAAGAAACATCGGTATTCGTTAGAAATCATGTTGCGAAAATAAACAATTTACAACCTGGATCGAATTGGAATCATGTGTCATCGAAGTCGAACCCTGCGGACGTGGTATCTCGGGGATTATTTCCAATGGAGTTGATGAAAAGCGAGCTGTGGTGGCATGGTCCACTATTTCTTCGGGTGAACGAGCACGACGATAATGTTCCAGTAGCAGAGCAGAAGGAATACGTTGAAGATGCTGATGTTGTTATGTTGCTAGCAGTGCATGAAAATCGACCATATGAAGTTTTAATGGCAAGCAGCAATTTTCGGCGACTGCAGCGTGTGTTCGGCTACGTTGCCCGCTTTATATTTAACTGCAGGACGAAAAATACGAGCGAGAAACGTACTGGACACAATTTGACTCTGCATGACCTGGAAGATGGATTAAAGATGATGGTGATTTGTGTACAACTGGAAGTGTATGCTGATGAAATTGATTATATTCTGAAGGGTAAATCCATCAAGGGCAAGTTAAAGAACTTGAATCCTGTGGTGGACAAGTGTATCCTGCGAGTTGGTGGTCGAATCCGGCACTCTGACCTTCCCAAGGACCAGAAGCATCCAATGATATTGCCAGAAAACAACCGTTTCACAGAAACTTTGATCTCGGCTCTTCATAAGGAACATCTCCATCTCGGTTTGAATGGTTTACTAGCGGTCGTACGAAAGAAATTTTGGCCAGTCAATGCTAAAAGGACGATTCATCGTGTACTACGAAAGTGCGTTACCTGTTACAGAATGAAGCCAAAGACTTTGGATCAGTATATGGGTGATCTTCCTAGCGTTCGGGTAACCGCAGCCCAGCCGTTTTGCCGAACAGGAGTTGATTACGCAGGACCATTTTACCTTAAGCAAGGACGAGGTAAAAGTGCACTGAAAGCATACGTAAGCTTGTTTGTGTGCATGAGTACAAAAGCGATTCATTTGGAGTTGGTGTCATCGTTGACGACCGATGGATTCATAGCTGCTCTGCACCGATTTGTCGGACGTCGTGGAAATGTATCAGAGTTGTACTCAGATAACGGCACAAATTTTACTGGAGCATCAAAGGAACTAGTTGAGCTGAGACAACTTTTGAAGTCTCAAACTCTTGAGCAGAAAGTGAGCGAATTTTGCCAACAGCGAGAAATCAATTGGCACTTTATCGCTCCAAGAGCACCTCACCAAGGAGGTCTATGGGAATCGAACGTGAAGAGCATGAAAACCCATCTCTACAAATCGTTGTCAGAAAGCCACCTGACATACGAAGAAATGAATACTCTTTTGATACAAATTGAGGCTATATTAAACTCAAGGCCATTGATTCCTATGAATGACGATCCGATCGATTACGAAGCTCTAAGTCCGGGCCATTTTTTGATCGGTCGAGAGCTGACATCCGTTGCAGAACCGATCTACGAAAATCTGAGGGATGGAGTTCTATCGAGATACCAACTGGTTCAGAAGAGAAAACAATCATTCTGGCGCCGGTGGTCAAACGAGTACATCACATCTCTTCAAAAGCGAAGCAAATGGTTGAAAGAACCTGCCTTACTGCGGAATGGAATGCTTGTTATTCTGCAAGAAGATAATATGCCGCCCCAATCCTGGAAGTTAGGCAGAATCATCGAAACACACCCTGGAAAGGATGGCGTTACACGGGTAGTCACAGTACGTACGAAGAATGGCACCTTCCGTAGACCGACAACCAAGATAGCTGTATTGCCAATCGTCGATAACAGTTGAACGGCACAGAAGGAGGATTGAGGTATCCACCTCACCTGGGGGAGAATGTTCATCGAAAAATCAAAGAAATTTGGATCAGTGCAAATACTTTCCTACACCCTAACCACTGTAAACATTCATAATTAACCCACCCCTGTTTTACTGTCTTGATTTTCTTGCTATTTCGTCAGACCGGAAATCCTCAATAACAAAACTCAGTTACAATAAAGTTATCGTTCAGTAAACACGTTTTTATACAGTCCATTGATTCGCTTTCGCGCTGAGCAATCCGAAAGAACATATAGCTTGGGACTACTTGGCCCCGTTGTTCTGGTACTGAGTGAGCCAAAAATAATAATGATTTTCTTCGGGACCCAGTGGTCTTAGAGTTACCTTAGAGTATTTTCTTAATATTGAAAAATGGGTACTTTTTCCCCTTCTTTGAAAACCTGTTCTGGAATAAAAATGACTAAAAGAGATTCATTATTGATTCAGTGCAAAAGTGACGGCATTTTGCAAGTGCAAATCAGTTATATATGACGGGATTAGAGAGAAAATGGAAGCCCTAAAAGACCAACTGAACCCAGAAGAGTACGGAAAACTGAAAGGTAGAATATTTTTCGTTTATTTTGATTTTTCTGTAATTCGTTCAGCATTATCTTATTTTGTTTCCGGATGCACTGCGTTATAACTATAACTATAGTTTCAGGTTATCTGAATCCTGTTCCATTACGGTGCTGGTTGTGGCTCAATACAGCTTCTATTAAAAGCTTTGAAGGCCCACATCCTGTAGTATCACCCCCAGAAAGCTGGACAAGTTAATGACCACTTGCCGGATGTTAAGCCGATGGAAGTAAAGCAAGTGCTGGAGGAGGATAGGATGGACAAGTATCGCATAAAAAATCCCTTCTATTACCGCAGCAAACCGACAAAAGCAGACCTCAGGGAACTTGCATCGGCAGCTGTCTATAATCTATACATCAAATATTCAATTAATTTTTGCTTGATTTGAACTAATAAAAAAAGTGATTTGTTTGATTATTTTAATTTGAGCTTTGTGTGATGATTTTAAGATGAATTTTGACGTATTTATTATTGATGGTAATGAGTCCTAAAGGCTTGTTTTTTTTTTCTAAAAAATGAATTTTATGAAGTACTCGTGAAATACTCATTAATGAGTAAAGTTGGTTTTACTCATTTCATGAGTTAAGCCACATTTCTTTGAAATGGGTACTTTTTTTTCTCATTAATGGGTACTTCGGGGTTAGCGTGTTGAATATTTTCTGAGTGCAAACCGCAATCAATATGGAGATGGATTCTGCCGTAATATTGTTTTTTACCAATTTTATCACATTTTTGGCAACGCTGTACAACAAATAAACAAATCGGAAAGTGTCAGAAATAGTTTATTGAATTTGATTGTTGATCGCAAGCGGAGTGAATTTATTCAAAATATAAAATTAGGATCTTTGTTTCACTCAAATTCAATTGGACATGGATTACATAGAAAACATTTGCCGGATCTGTTTGGGTGGTGGAAGCATGGATATCGACTTTCTGCTGGTTAACATCTTTGAGTCTCAGAATGTAAGTTCTATATTAGAAGTAGGTCATTGATTGGATCGTATAGGTATAACGGTATAACCATTATTAAATAATTTTATAAATTTTAATCGTTTTAACAGGACATTTCAAGCCCGGAATTCTCAATAGCCGAATTACTGCAGACTATCTGTGGATTGGAGGTCAGAATTTATCTTATTGTAGAATCCTAAAGCAGAAGTTCTATTGTGTAAATGTGGGTTTCTTTCATTTCAGTTATCTGAGGATGACTTCTATCCGAAAAACATCTGCTCGATGTGCCTTTCGCGCTTGGAAGAAGCTTACAGACTTCGTCAGCAGTCTCAACAATCGCAGGAAGCTCTATACGATATGCTGTTTACCAAGACAGCCACTTCTGAGCTGGCTTTCGAGGTGAATGTTGAAGAGCTGGACGACGGAAGATTGTATGAAGTAGAATATTTGGATGAACAAGAATCATTGCTGTTGGAAATAGACGTAGACGATCAGAGTGATGTCAAGATCGAGGACGTACTGTCGGAGCAAGTTATCGATCACACAAACCATCAGAAGGTGCTCTGCTGTGGTTGTGATGCGGCCTTTGAAACGGAACGCCAATTGAGGAAGCATTCTTTTAGTAAGCACCGTCCTCGAGGGGATACGGATATATCAGAGGGAAAAGTTCATTGCCACGTATGTTATGCACTATTCTCAAATGAATACAAATTAGATATCCATAGAGCAGGGAAACATAATGTGCCGCCATTGAAGAAGTGCAAGTTCTGTGGATGTAACTTTTTCTCATCGAATGGACTGCTGCAGCATAAGAGGACTTTTCATGAGGACAGAATGTACAAATGCTGTGGATGTAGATTTTCTTGCTTCGAAAAGGAGGAGCTCCTCTGCCATTCCGTCAATCATAGAAGTGAATCTATTGAAAATTACGAAGACAGGCCTTACCAGTGCGTGATTTGCTTGTCGCGGTTCCAAACGCTACAAGAGAGGCGAACACATGAGCGCTTTCCGTACAGGATGCTTAGTGCAAGGCAGGAAGAAAAGGACGAGGAAGTAACCGTAACAGTTTTGAGGTGTTGCGGTTGCGCTAAAGTGTTTTCGTTGATGAGTGAATTGAACTCTCATCAGGAAGAGATCCATTTGCCGCAGAGAATTGATTGCCTAGAGGAAATGCCAATTGAATGCGGAGGATGCTACAAACGGTTTAAAAATAATTCCTTCCTTAATAAGCATCTCCGGCGAGCTGCAGATAAGAAGCTTTATGCGTGTAGCAAATGTAGTGTAGCGCGTCGTACGCTCAAGGAGCTGATTGAACATGAAGCGACTCACACTGGACAAAGCGCATTTATTTGCTGTGGATGCCGGAAGCGATTCGAATCACAACATGCCTTGGAGCAACATTCGATAGAAGAACATGCAAATCGGCCGAAGGTCTACTATAACGACGAGCAGGATACTGAAAGACCATTTGAATGCAAGATTTGCTACCGAAGGTACAAATCCGCCAGAGACCTCCGCGGTCATCAACGATTTGTGTATTACGAGAAGGTTCACGTTTGTGACACATGTGGAAAAGGTAAATGTCGTATAATTGTTTAGGAGGAACGAAGGATTTTTCGTTGAGAGCTAATTCTTAATCATTTCTTAGGCTTCGCTCAAGAGAACAGTCTGGACGTGCATATGGCCACCCATAAGACGAAAGCGGAATTTCCTTGTCCGATCTGTGGGAAGAAGTACAAACACGGATCCAACGTGCGGAACTGTATGGTACGTCACGAGCGTCCTAAGCAACATAAGTGCAAGATATGTAACGTAACCTTCCCAGCTGCATCCAATCTCTACTCGCACATGATTTCCCATTCCGAAGATCGTCGCTACAAGTGCGACGTGTGCGGCCAATCATTCAAGCGCAGTTTTCACTTACGGAAGCACATGAACACGCATACCAGCGAGAAAAACTACCCTTGCAAGTACTGCTCATCAAAGTTCTGTTCGACCACTGAGCTGTACAAGCACGAGATTCGCCATACCGGGATGTACCCGTATGAGTGTGAGATTTGCGACAAAAAGCTTACGACTCGTCAGGTTTTCATTAAGCACTATGAATCGCATGTCGAGGAAGCGGAAAAAGTGTTCCAGTGCAATTTGTGCCCGTTGAAATACAGCCAGGATCATTTCCTGTCCAACCATATTAAGTACAAACACCGAATCGAACCGCAGGATAAGCATTGGAATGATAAATTCAATCGAAAGGGCCCCAACAGACTGAAAGGAGGCATTAGATGGGCCGGAGTCAGGGGCAAATACTCCGCTAATACATCGCCCCTGGAGGAGGAAATAGAAATGTATGAAGATGAACAGGTTGAAGTTGAAGCAATTGAGTCCATCGATGAAGTGGAAACCAAGGTGAATCATAAGTAGGTTGATCAGAGTTAATAAATAACATTTTTTTGCTACAAATACCTACCTAAAGTTTATTTATACCAAATGACATCAGTCCGAATGCCATTAGATCAAATGGCTTACTGCAGTGAGTATGCAGAGCTAATTCTTGGCTAGGAAGATCGGGGAGGAAACATGCGATACTGCCTCATAACCAAATGGTTCTCGTAATATGTATTCTTGAGAATTCAACATAATAACTGTTGAAAAACAATTAAAATACTATAGATTTAGAGCAAATTTATTTTTATGGATTCGATAATTTTAGACAATTGAATATCTTATGTTCTGCCGTGCAAGCACCATATTCTGAACGGTTAAGAAGATATCAATGTAAAAAAATCTGAATGAAAACTATTTTGCTCTATTTAAGAATTATTTCTTCTCATAGACGTGTAAACTGAACATCTAAGTACTGGTATAAAATAAATCTGTATACATAATTAATCAAATTTTATTAAGCGAAAACATTTAAGAAATCGACCATGCATTCCATATGCAATAACCAACAGAAAACACCGCTCCGTCAACACTTCTGCAATCAAATTCAACACCTGGATGATCACTCGACCCTATGCGCCAACACATCGTAAGCTTGACGCAGCAATCAGCTGATGGTTACCTGAAAGCGCGACTACGGGACATAAAAATTATTAAAATCGCTCGCCTTTATTTAGCATATAGGGGAAATGGCTCTAACGTTGGCCTATGGATCTAAGATTGGGCCCATCGCTAAAAATCTGCTATTTATCTATTTTATCTAAATGAACGCGTCATTGGGACGGTACTAATGGATATTTATGGTCGCTATTGAAAATTTAGTTGATTAGGGGGAGGTTGCTCATCGATTCTTCCAGTCCGCCTCCTAGCAGCGTGCTATAAGGTACCAGGTGGTAACAGGGTAGTTGATCGATAGCTCGATGGCGTCATTTCGTTATTGTTTGCAATGAGAAATTCTCATAGCATGCGTTGACGATGAGATGTTGTCGAGTTGTTGATTAGCAACCATCGTGGTAACTCACCGATTACCTGTCGATCTGCCAAGTTTGGAAAGACGTCTGCATTGAATTATCTCAAATATCACAAGAAATTCCGAGTAGCTGAGTGGAATGGAGATAAGTTAAGCATTAGGTACAGGACCAAGTCTCCCCTGGGTGGTGCCAGAAGATGAGCGCAATAGACTCATCAAGTTGCCATAAGGCACGAAATGAGACTATTGCATGGCTGGGTAGTCAAAGTCCTCCATTCGTTAGTTATTTCGTTAGTATTATTTATTTATTATTTATTGCTATCCAACGATGTACCTTCCCTCACTTAAACAGTCAGGTATCTTGTGCACCTTAAGTTACGCATGGGGCCAACGTGAAACACTTCTATCCTGGGTTGCTGCTTGCTTTTTCCTTGGCCTGGACCCTGGTTAGATTTATGTCAACTTGTTTGATTACTTTGTTAAGCCTCCGTTGCCTTGAGTTAACACATATGGCTCAATTGTTTATCTTGTTTCTCCCCCTTTTTATCTCTCGTTGTTGCTGTGTTTGTCTCTTGTGACAATAATCCTCCCTATTGCCCTGCCCTAGAATGGGGGGTTTGACGATGGTTTGTCAAGTTTCATTTTGCATTTGTTTTTGTTTTCATCAAAGTTATTTATATAAGAAATATAATATTACCATATAATTGTTATTTAAGGTTTGCTTTTGTAATTGCACGATAAATAGTTTACGTCAATTGAAACATTGAGTTGTATAAACTTGACGAATCATACCTCTAACATAGTAGTAGTTACAGTGTCGCATGATTGAACAACCACTGCCTGCAACTAGTGTTTAAGAGGCTGGCAGGGTTGACTACGGATCAAAACGATCATAACTCTAACACTAACGCTCATTCATTGCACTTTTAGTTATAAAGTAGTTCTGTTTTCCTAGTTATTGATCTATGCTTCTTTTTATTGTTTTTATACTTTTTCAATAATCTGCCTACGTTTCTTTTTCTTTGTTTTCCATTTTATCTTTATTCTCTTTTTATTGTTCTGCTCTTCTTTTGTTTTGTTTGTTCAGATATAACTAATACTAATACCTCTTTGTTTCCTCTCAAATGTTTCGTCTCTAATTTGTCTGCTATATCCCACCATCACGACGAGAGATGAGCTACCCTACATAGTACACGCCTACCCTAATAAAATTGTTATGGTTATTTTCCTTAACGACGTGTTCTGGGTATAATCCAAACCATTTGTGGAATAGTTCAATCATTTGGGTTATCATTCGTTTATGGTATATTTTTATTAGGGTATATGGGCGCCCAAAATAGTATGCCGCAAGTATGAGGGGCTCGGTGGCCTTAGAGCAACCGTTTATGCTTACTGAGCAGAACATCCTGAGTCTAATCTCAAGCCCATCCACATCAAGATTCGTCAATCGTTTTATTCAAGCTGGCAAATGCTCGTTACCGATGGAATGCTGTTTTTCGGATTTGCGGGGCTGTGGGGTATTTTGGTGATGGTGGTTCCTGTTGGCAGAATGCAGGAAGAGGAGGTAAAGTATCTGTATGATACATAAAACATGTTAGTTTGGCTTTCAGAGGGTCGCAATGGCGATTAGCTGTAACGATGAGCAACGTGATGAGCGAGCAATCAGAGATCATTCTTGCTTCTTGCGGGTAAGAATTGTCATTGTGGTATCTCATAGTTTCATGATTCCGAGGATTGGCATTTTGGCTGTGATGAGCAATTGCAAGCCTGGTTTTATTTGTTAATATGACTACATGGTAATAACAGCAACTCGATGATTAAAAAGGAGCTCGTTTGCCTAGTAGCAAACGTTTTTGCTTACTGAGCAGATGACCGTGGGTTCAATCCCAAGCTCCTTCGCGTTATACGATCGTTAGAACATCAGTTCAGCTTATCGTTTACCAAAACGAACCCTGCTGCAAACCCAACCCTCTTACCCAACATCCCTGTGATTCCTCGTGGAAGTGCAGAGGGCTCCTCGGCTTCCATCAAAGTGAGTGTCACGTCAACACATTCCTACCCATTCCTTTCTTGACCTGCGTTCAGGCGCGGCTGGCGCTGGTATTGCTTAATTCGAGATCACAAGTTTTTACACATTGAGGATGATTGCTAGTCCCAAGCATCGTCTATTGGTTCTCTGTGTAATTACAGCTGGTCTGGCAATAACAGAGTAGCAACCGTCGATTGCTGATTTTATGTATGGACCCAAATTAGGAGCATTTAGACCGACATTACATCCATTTCCCCTAACTTTTCCATATATGGTTTGGATGATACCTCGGAACACGTCGTTAAGCAAAATAACCATAATTTTTTTATTAGGGTACCGGCCTTAGCGGAGGAAAGATCTTTTTCGAGGTGCACGAAGAATATGGTGTACCAAAACAGGCGGCATCTGACAACTTGGAATAATACTATTAAACATATTTTATCAACCGATGTACTTCCAAAAATTTCTTCACTTAAAAAGAATGCGACTGAAATTTTGATCTACTGTCAAAATTTCAATCGCATGAAAAGCGCAGCCAAAATGAAGGAAATCTATCAAAGTTTATTATGCGTATCCTCTTCGGTAAATCTGGCAACTGAAACATCTGGGATGAAAGCGTAAAAAGTGAAGAAATCTTTGGAAATGCCTTTAATGTATTCAGAGACGGCAACAACTTCTTCAAAGACATCAGGAAGTTATCTCTTCAAATTACCGTACAATCAGTGTTTGGTCCCAATTAGGTCAAATCCCATTTGGTACGTGTATTCGTTAATGCCGGACCGACCGTATTATAGAAATCCAGTGACAACCGTGATATAGGAATCTTGACTGTTCATTATTATTACTTATGTCCGGTACTGTATATTAACATATCAACTTAAACAGTTAACTTACAAAATTACATTCAAATAACATTCTCAACCATTAATTATTATTATTATTATTGCCAATAATTATTTTATTACGCATCTATGGATTAATTCCTGGTGGTAGCTGCAGCTTGTTGCCTACCCTTGGCCACATACCGTAGAGTTTCAGCAGATCATTTGTCTTTGTTAGTTTCGGCCCCTGGGGCCGCTTTACGTTTCGGTCTTGCCTTGGTCGTCGGAAGGACTACGGAGAGTATTATAGGCTTCTTCGTTTTCTTTGCTGCAGCTTTACCAACAGTGGGATTGTTATTCTTGTCCTTCTGGCCTTGAGGATTCTTCGACTTTGAATCCGCTCCCGGCTTCTTCGGTGCCTTTGGTTTTGGCTCAACTTTCTGCTTGGGTATGGGTTTACGTTTAGCCGTAGTTTTAGATTGTTCTTCTCTCTCTGCAGCTTTCAATGCTTTTTTCTGTTCTTTCTTCAGCACATTCCAATGGTCGACTGAGAAGACAATCGATCCCGAAAAACCCGATCCGGAAGTGTGAATATAGGTATTCTCTTTCAGTCCTTTATCAATGGCTTTCTTGCAGTATAATTTGACCCTTTTGGACGGTGCATCGTTATTCTCGCTGACATATTTCACAATCCGCTGGATGGACACACCTAACCGTCTATTTTCGTTCAGCTTTTCCATTGCTTCATAAACCATTTTGTCATACGTTTTCGATTTGACAGCATTACGGGGAGCAAGCTTAGCCTTCGGTACTGATGATGGTTTGGGATCTACGGGAACGAGTTGTGGGGATTTCTCAGTTTCATCAGTTTCCTCACTGTTATTACCTGTTTCCTCTTCACTTTCATCAGCAGTTCCTTCCGGTTCCGAGTCATTTTCTTCGGATTCCGATGAGCTTTCCTTCCGGGGAACTAACCCTGATTTGATCGAGGGCGGAGACTCAGTATCTACGGTTTTTTCGTCCGAAGAGCTCATCTTTGGTGATTTAAAACTGTACAAGAAAGTAATTTGTCAAACATTACTCACAATTTTAGGACCTGAAAAGGTATGACATACCACACTTTGTTCTACATAAAAGCACATGACATTGTGATAAAAACCACAA